ATATATAAGTTAAGTCTCAAAGGTCTGAGAGACAGACAATGTGTGGTATGAAGAAAAATAAACAAATAAAATCTTACTAAATAACGCTTCGGTTTTTATTTCTTTCGCCTAACGAAATTGATAGCTTTATTTCTTTTGTTGCTAAAAATCGAAAGCTTTATCTTTTTGCCATAAAAAATTGATGCTTATTCTTTATTCTTTGATTATAATTTGGTAATTTGTCTTTATTGTTTTGAACCATATTTAAATTGTGTTAATAAAACCTTTTTTTGGAAGTTAGATACTACTTTACCTTTTACCCTTTTGATTGCTCAATCTCCGTGAAAGAAGTTCTTTAGAATCTTAATGACATCTCACTCTGTGTAAATCATTAGTATAGCTCGAAAACATTGTTGCATCTTAAATTCTTTAGTCAGCTTAATTTTTGAGTTGAGTGTGATATCGATATGTTAAATTTATCAATTGCATTATACATGTACATGTATTCGCATTCAACTGCATACACACATTATAGAAAGTGTGCTATGTAACCTTTGGTAATACATGAACAGAATTAAACACTGTATTATTTAGTGCTTTCTCTATAAATAAGGGCTCTTTTAAAAAATGTATAAGATATTCTTGATTTGGTTTCTTATAAGTTAAAAATGGGGGTATTTTGGCCAAGTTAAAATTTTTGATAGAAAAACTTTTTACAAGAATTAACTTATTTATTATAGTCAGTCAATTTTGCATAAAACCACATGTAGTACAAAATACAATAACAAAGGAAAAAATGATCATTTTGTGTGCTATACAATCTTGGGAAGTAGGGTATTTTTGCCCAACATTTAAAAAAGATACGATATCTAGATCGGAATCGGGATGAATTTAACACCATTCGATGCATCATTCCTAGACGAATCGAACGACATTGTTTCCACGTGATTCCGATATTAGGTATCGTCAAAATACCATTTTCTGTCTCTAATATGGTAGTTAAGAATATTGTTAAAATATGATCGATTCTTGATGAAGCACTATTAACGAAAAAATTGTAAAATGATCGGTGCGATATTTTCGCCATTGGTTGAAGTTTTTGGTATATGAATAATTTATTATAAAATAATAGGCCATTTGGCTTTTTAAATTATAAATTACCAGTCATTATTCACAGATCTACATACCCGATACATGTGTAAAACTTGAAGTTTAAATTCTATAAACAAGGATTTGATCGTATAAGCTCAGCGGCATATTTATTAAACATACACGCATTAAAAGCAAATTTTTTCCATTATCGTTTACAATCTCGTATGTTATAACCTTAATCTATTTAAAAGCTATTAATAAGAATTTAAGATTATATACGAACACAACAAGTTAATATACATGTACCAATTACAAATTACTCCCAAATGCCCTTCAAACTCTCATGCGGGAAATCTTTGGGCTCCAAATGAAGTTCCTCAAAAATAGCTCGATCCTTCAACAACTGGACCTCTTTAGCTTCCTCGTCTGCCCAACTCTCAAGATACTCGCCGGGGGCGCCTAGTTCACCTTTAATATCTTCGTCGGTTCCAATTAAGACTAATTCACAGTTCTCGTAGTCAAGAAATTCGGTTGTACGTAGAGGTGCGAAGCGGAGCCCTTCGAATTTCTCCATCAATTCGGGTGGATATGAAGACTATATATATTTTTGTTGGTTTGTGTTTAAAGCGCTTAAAAACACAAGAAATCATTTATAAATTACCTTTTTGCTGGATGGAAGACCGGCACCTGGAGGATTGCCTAACGTAGGATTCTAATAAAGAGAATTGTAAAATAAATTTTGAGAATTTCAACAAAAATAAACTCTATTAAAATATACCTTCACAGTTATAATATAACTAGCTTCGTGCTTAATACTGAACGCACTTTGCACTTCGCCAGGTTGACTTGGCAACTCTAAAACATACGATAAATGTGTGTGATTATTATGTTCCGATATTAAGTAAGCTCCTCTTCCCTAAAATTCGGAAATATTAATGATTCCATTTAAAATAAATTGAATGACTCGAGCATATACACACCAAAGGTCTGCATGGTTGCAATGTTCTTTCGCCCCTAGTCTTCGTGCTATAGTGTTCCATTCCAAGGGAGCTTTTAATGTCGTCCAAATTTTCGAACGATTTTTCCTATAAATAGCACGTTATAGTCAATACAAATTCGTAAATTAGATCATTGTGAATCGGTTTTAATCTTACCACAAAGGTCCAATATCGAGCATGTTTTTCAACCTCAGGAAGCTTTTTTTTCGCCATGATCAATAGACGAGGTTTACCAATGAGTTTCCCTTCTCCCTTCTCGTCAAATGTCTTACCCTCTTCCATTTTCTGGGCGAAAGTTTCGATAGGCTTATCGGCCAACGTTGGACGAATAAGTGTAGGAATAAGCATAATATATAACCGTTGCACTTGATTTGGATTGCTTGGATGCGTTGACGAAATCTTGATTTTAAAAAATCAAATCACGTACAGACTTAATATCGACATTAAAAATTTGTTAGAGATAAAAATATTCGCGGAACCTTTGGTCTATAGAAAAAGCTAATATGGCCTTTTTCAAGAACGCTTGGCGGCATGTCATGTTTAAGATCCATTTTCTTTTGTTCGTTTGACAATGATTTTTTATTATCTTTGCCTTCGGATTTTACTTTTTTCTCATCATCTTTGCTATTTTTTTTAGTTTTCTCACTCGATTCCGTCTCATTTTTAACTTTCGCAGTTTTACCGCCTTTATTTTTTTCATGTTTCTTGTGTTCTTTAATTTCTGCAGATGAAACAGGAACAGTTTGCTCAGCAGCAGCCGATTCTGCCGGCTTTTCTTGATTTTGCAGCTCTTCTAGTGTTTCTTGTGGTTGTTTTTTAGATTCCGTGGCATTTCTTTTTCGTTGCTTTTCCATTTCTTCAGTCTTCCTTTCAGCATGTTCCTCTGTTTGTTGGTCTTCGCTTTTATTATTATCCTCAGTTTCCATTTGCTCTGATTTTAGTTGTTTCTTTTCAACTTCGGAGTCAGGAGATTGTGGCGAAACTTCATAATCCATTTGTTCACTGCTTTCTCTTAATCGACCCGAAGTTGTTTCTCCATTATTTTTTTTCTTTGGTTTGGCTTTCGTTGGCCTGCCTCGTCCACGTTTGGATGGTTGTTTAGTTTCTTGGGTCTTAGCTGTAGATATTTTTGCCGAGGAATCATCGCTTCCTCGTCTACTTCGTTTAGTGGGAGAAGTAGCAGTCGGAGGTGCTGGTGAAACATCTTTACTGTTTTTATCATCTTCAGTACGAGTTGTCGTTGTTTCGCTAGCAGGTGTTTTTCTTTTTGGTGGCATTTTTTTTTTGGTAGAATAATTTTGTAATAGTTGTATTTGAAGAAATTTTCCGCTGGGACAAACAAAAGATAGGCGATTAATGAGGCGTTTTTTATAGAAAATTCCTATTCGTAATGATGATTTGATCATGATGTAAAAATCGAAAGATTTTTCATCACTTTTACATCACACGCACGCTCACTGTTGCTTGTTTTTTATTTTGGTGCCCATTTTTGACCTTTATATTTTTTATTTTAAATTCCACAAGTGATTGCATAAAAGTTAAAGCGTGGGTATTTGATTATAATCTTTGCTCATGATGATATATTTTTGCATTCTCTCACGATATGATATAGTTAGCTCTTGATGCAATTACTTTTGTTATTTTGATTTTTCTAGCGATCAAGTGATTGAAAATAAGGTGTGTAAATCGTTCAATAATAAAAATTTAACTTCGTTCGTTATATAAAATTTCCCCTTATAGTTATTTTCATACCGACGACGATCTGGACCGGTTATTTTTTACAATTAAGATGGTATTAAAGGATTCTACATTTCCCAGTATTTTACAAGGAAAATATCATTTGGAAAAAATGGATAGAGGTTCGCACGTAAAATACTATTTTGTGAATTTAATAATTGAGAAAAAGAATTGTGAAGGCGAAATTTTAATCGAACAATAACTTTATAAGATAATATAATTATATACACGCACGCATATACGGAGAGTGCATGCCAAATATTTGCAAAATTTCAAGTTCTCTTAATAAATAGCCGTTACTTGAGGTTTAAATATGTTTTGTTAATGAAAACTAGATAAGGTTTTTTCTGACAAAATTTCTATTTTTTGCTGCGCGTTATCAGGATTTATATATTCAAATATTATCAAACATCTCGGTATTGTGGCCTGTAAAAATTATCAACTTTGTTTTAACAAATGGACAAAGATTTAGACGAACCTGAAGAAACATGAATAAGAAATAGAAAACTTACAGCCTTGTTAAAAACTTTGAGAGTATAACCGGGCAATGGAGCAAGAACATCCAATGCAAACATAATGTAAGGGCGTTGATCGCATTTCAAGGAATAGATTAATGAATGCGCTGGATCATTCGACGACCAAATCCCCGATTTCTTCCACCAAAACCATCGGTTTCGTGTTTTGTTTCCCTTTCTAAGAATTCCACACATTGCACACCCTTTATTCTCGCATAATTCAACTTTGGTTTCCAACGTCGTAATCGGATCACGACAACGATACGTCGTTCCGTGAAACATTAAATGTGTGATTGTCTGCGAATCAGTTTCATGTTTTTTTGCCATTTTTGCCGCAAGCTTTTGATGCCGTTTTATTATGTTTGTCGGCATTTCTATTTTTAAGATTTTAATGATTGTTGCTTCTGGAATTGCTATTGTGAATCGCTTTTGTAGTTCTTGAAAAATCGGATCGCCGGTATCCAGAAGTGTTAGTTTCGTTTGTTTTGTTTGTTTCATTTAAAGTCAATAAGATTTTGTCCGGTTTCTAGTTTTTATTTTTTTTATTTTTTGCTTTTGTTTTTTGAATTTTTTTGTGAGATTATTGAATTTAGATTTTTAAAATGAGATTGAGCCCACGTTTTACATAAGTGAAGCTCTTCGTATTTAGTTTAACTGAAGAATATTCAGTCTCTCGAGCTAAATTAAAGAAAAAACTTGCTTATTAAGTCTTATTTAAAATAAATCATGGATTCAAAAGCTTAATCACCGAATTTATCTAATGTACGATTTGCCGCACCGATGGAAATGAAAACATGTATTATAATTAATTATAATTCTAAATACGAACAATTTATTATAGAGAGAAGATAGATTTTTTAGGAGCAGTCGCAAAAATATTCAGCTTCATACTCTACGAATGGCAATACAAAAAAGTTCAACGAAATTGCGAATACTCTTTAAACCCATTATGATTCATTCTCCTTTTTTTTACCAAGGGTGTTGATTATTGGTAACCGATCGAAATGTAACACACAAAAAACAATTATCCATTTGTTGCACAAATTATATCAATATTTATATTAGATCGTCCCAAAAAAAGATTTTCGGTATATCGAAAAATAATAAACAACCAGCACGAAAAAAAATAATTTAAGGCATTTTCTGATCCGCATTATGATTGTCGCTTTTTCGTTGTTCTTTTAAAAGTAGTTCTTTTTGTTAAACAATTACACAACCAAGACACAAAATACTAATATTACCTAAAACTCCCATTAAAAATTTTAAATTAATAATTTTTCCTTATTTTGTCAAAACAATAATCATATTACGTACATATTTGATCTAACTGTAAACAAGGGATTGTCATTCCATAGCATATACTTGTATTGAAAAGCCTATTTATGGAAGTTGTTAATATTTATATATATATATATATATATATATATATTTATATATTTATCTATATTTTTATATATCTATATACATGCTGTACGTGGGAACGGAATTTAATGGATTCGGAATCGACCCAAATTAGGATTAGAGTTAAAGCAAGGGAATGGGTTGTCGGAGGATAAGATTAACGTTGTCCAAAGGGTCCACGTATATGGGTTCTGATCCATATATGTTTAGCATATATTGTACTTCAAATGAATAATATTAACCTATCTTTCCGATTAGTCCTAATCCTAACCTCGGTAATGCTCATATCCTAATATGTAGTTGAGCGATATTTGGCGCAAGGGTCATTTGAGACACGACATACATAGTTGAACATAGATATGAATTCCGAATCGATATACATGTGTGGGTTTAAATCACTAATCTTATCCTCTAATGCGCTTTCCTTTGCTTTGACTATATTCATATCTTCATCCTAATTTGGGTCGATTCCGAATCCATTTAAATTTCGTTCCCACGTACAACTTACAATATGTGAGAAATAACAAAAGTGATCGAATTCTTATGAAAAATTAAATATCTGTGTCAAATTTTTGAGTAACATTAAATCGTTATCAATGCTTATCAAATAGCTTAGTAATCCATCTGGTTTATTGAGGAACAATTTTGTCGACCCTAGTATCATCTCTTTCATAATTCTGGTAGCTCACATTTTCTATTAATGATTTATTAGTATATAATCATTATAAGGCAAACTATTTTCAAGCTTGAAAGGAAAAAAAGTCAGAAATGTGCATAACTGCAGAACTTGGCAAAATGCAAACAAGAACCAATTACATTAATTTCCGTCTCGAAAATTCCACAGTCAAGCAAGAAAGAATACGAAACTAGAATACTCCTGTGGTTTCAAGACTCTTGTCCATGTATACTTGGTGAATTCTTGCACCATACATTAAACGTATGAGCAATATAATTATATTTTTAAAAGGAAATATATATTAACAGCCAGTAAAATCAATTAATCTTATCTTTTATTTATACTATAAAAATACATGGAGCTTCTATAATGACTTACCGAACAAATCATATACACAGCTAATTTCGATACAAGAAACCTGCGGACTTTCCCCATTTGTTTATCTATGGTGATTAATTTTTATAGAAGGAAATTTCATTACAATCAATTATATTATTTATCTATGTTGATTATTTTGTAAAAGGAAATATCATACAATCCATTATATTATTTTGTTAAGAAAAAGTTTAGTTTAATCTATGTTGTAAATGCCATAAATTAGAATGTATATTGATTCCAAATTAACTTAGGTTGATTCGGGATTAGATATTAATAAATTAAATATAACTTTACTAATATTGATTGTTAATTATGTAGTTATCACTAAGAATCATAAATTTATTAGAATTGAATATGAATATAAGTATTTAGTTAAGACAAAGTAAAGTTTTAATTAATTCTTATTAGAAATAATGTATCATACTTCTAAGTAATTATAATCCTTAATAGTTATAATTTGATAAAGCTATATTGAATTTATTGATATTTAACCTGAATCAACTAACCAAGGTTGATTCGGAATCAAAACAGATTCCGTTTCAATTCATGACATATGTAAATAGAACTGCCTAAATTAAAATAGGGTATAACTTGACTAAGCGGAATGTCAGATATTATGTAATACCTAGAGAGGAAAGAGGTGTATGTGATATTAATACATTATCTTACTTTGGAGGGGTATTATATTACATAATACCTGTAACATCTAAGGATAGGGTTATGATAAGATTTCCTGTTGGTCAAAAAATTCTAAATGCATACTAAGTGGATTCTGAATTCACTAATATTTCATTCTCATACAAGAAAAAAAATGAATATCGGCCAGAAGTAAGTAAATATTTATTAAAATAAACAATATCATCTAATACAATTTTATTTGTCAAAAAAATTTAATTCTCGTTTTCAATTAATATGATCGAACACATCACGAATATAACATCCTTTTTTAATTACAAAAC